CATGATTCCAGTCAATAACAAGTTCCAGTCACATGTTACAGAAAACAGTTTCCAATAGACTATCCCTGAATCTCCTGCACTTTGATCTCTGTGACTTCTGGGTAAGACTACTAGCCGCCATCCAGGAGGTGCCTATTCAGAAGTAGTTCATAAAATAAATATATTCTTGTTCATTGACAAATAAAACATAGTGACCCTTTCGCTATGTGGACAGGCTGGAGAGCCATTGAGAACACCTGTCACCTCTGTATGGCTGACATACTTTTCCACAGAGCTGTCTCCAGCTGCTTCTCCATCTATTCAGAAAAAATAACTTCAGTCACTGCTGTATGCAAACTTTGTACACTTCTGGGCAGTTCTGCGTTATAAAAGATACCTACCAAGCGAATGTTTCCCCTAAGTTCTTCATAATTGGACTTAACTCCTTCTCTAGGTTCTTCTTCACATGTCTTTTGCTGTCCCCAAAAGCCTACCATAATCCTTCCTGCTTTCCTCACATCCCTTTACTTGGGGTTCCTTCCTGCACTGTCTACCTAGTCTGGGGTTCAATATGTAAGCCAGAATGGCCTCAAACTTATAAAAATCCATCTGCCCTTGTCTCCCACCCCTACCCCCATCCCCACCCCGCCCCTGCCCCTGCCCCTTGCCTCTGCTGGCCCTTTTTAAACTCTTTCCCTGGTGAGCCCTGCTTACGCTTTAAGACACAGCCTAAGGGGCTCAAGAGATGGCTCAGTAATTAAGCACATGGGCTGCTCTTCCAGAGGTCTAGGGTTTGACTCCCAGCACCCATGTGGCAGCTTACAACTTGCTATAACACCAATCCCAGGGGATCTGATGTCCTCTTCTGTCCTCCATGCACACATGGTATATCTGTCTATACACACAGGCAAAACATGTATATACATATAAAAATATTTTTTAAAGGTGCCTGGTAAAGAACTCCACCAATTTTGTGTGACATAGATCAATACCCCTTTCTCTCATGAGTCCACTGTTGTCTGGCTTTTCATAGAGCACCTCCTCAGGACTATGCAGAAAGAGATTCTGACATGACAGTCAGCATTATGAGGCCATCCTGCCAAGCATCAATATGAGTAACCAATGGATTTTATATAATGAACTGAGGAAAGAAAGCATAAATGAATGGATTGATAGATGAATGAATGAATGCTGGTATTTATAGTAAAAAGCATCATCCTTTTAAAGTCTTTTCAGTGACGTGGTGCCTGGAATTCATTCTGGTGAAGAGACACAGAGCAGTAAAATTATGTGTGCAAAATGTGAGCAAGAGGAAGTACATACTCTAACCAAAGTGACAAGTCCCCTAGAAAAGTCTAAAACCAAAGTATATTTTATGTTTTCTTTTCACTCCTTTATTTCCAAACTGAGACAATTTTCAAAATAAAATTATAAAATTTTGGTAGCATTTTTGAAAACCTTACTTATTTTTAATTTACCAAAGAGCTATAATCTCAGGCCTGAAAAATCTTGTCTCCAGGAGCTATAGTTCTTTCCTGATGTTCCTCCACCATGATTAGTAGGTTCATAGAGTTTTGCTAAACAGAAGAGAATGACATTTTAACCTTTATGTACGGGTGTTTATCTGCATGTATGTCTGTAAACTACTTGCATGTAGTGCCTGCAGAAGCCAGAAGAGGGCTCCTAGACTAAAATTACAGATCGCTGTGAGCAGCCATGCAGATACTAGGAGTTGAACCTGTATCCTCCAGGAGAGCAAGTCCTCATCAGAGCCATCTGCAGAGCCATCTCATCAGTCCCCAGAACAACTTTTAGGGTTTGGTTGGTTGGTTGGGGGGGGGCGGTTTGAGATAGCGTCTCTTTCTACATAGTCCTAGCTATCCTGAAGTTCTCACTATATAGATCAGACTGGCCTTGAACTCAGAGGTCCTAATGCCTCTACTTTCCAAGTGCTGGGATTAAAGGTGTGTGCCACCACACTTGGCACCTAGAGCAACAGTTAAATCCAGGCAGAGTGAATTGCTATTCTATGTCCCAGGAATGTTTCACTGAGGAAAAGGAAGTTTCTTGATCCCACCAGGTACATCCTTTCCTATGCATCCCATAACCAGGCACATAGAGATTAAAGAAAGATGCCGAAACCTTGTTCCATTTGTCTCATTCACATTTAATAGTCACAATTCAGGCAAAGATTTTATCTCATGCTAATCCGAGGCAGGTTTTATCTTGGTTCTGCAAGTAAACAGCTCAAAACACAGAGAAGCTAGTAATTCAACTAATGTCACAGAGCACACAGATATCAGAGTCAGCTCTGAAGTCAGGTGTGGCCTGCCACCTCAACCACCTCCCTATGGCATGCCCCCCATTCAATAAGCATTTTCCAACATAGGGAATTTCTAGATAGTTGTCACAAGACAATGCTCCTTTTGGTATTTTATACTCATACAATTCTGTCTTCTAAAAATACAAGAATGGTTCTATAGGCTTAAGATTTATTCATCCTGTTTAGGTATGTTTTTGCTCTGAAATACACACCGCTCTGAGCACAAGCTTGGTTTTGAACTCATCTATTTGAGGAGGCTGGAGAATCTTTAGGAAGTAGGCCTGGCTGGTAGACGTAGCTGTGGGATCTTGAAGGTTGCAAACTGTCTCTGATCTCAGTGTTCTTTGATTCCTGATTTGCAGCAAAGCAAAGCACTTCTAAGGCCATGAGCCTGCCCAAGTCTTTCCCACCACAGTGGACTGAAATCTGAACAGTACCGTCAAGACAAGCCCATTCTTCCTTGAGTTGTTTCTGCACAGCATTCTGACCATAATAAAACAAAAGCAAGATACATCAAGCACGCAACACTTTGCTAAAATTGTGTGTGCATACACATGTTTGTGTGAGTATATGCACACGTGCATGTGAGTGCTCATACATGTGTTGTTTGTGTGTATAAATTCTAGAGGTTGACATCAGCTGTCATCTTCAATCATTTAACATTTTAGTTTTTGAGACAGGCTCTCTCATTAAACCCAGAATTAATCCAATGGCCAAAATAGATGGCCAATGAGCTCCAAGGACCCACCTGCCTCCTGTTTCCCTCCCTACCTTCTTATTTAGCAGGGCAGTGCCTTGCTTTTACGTGAAAATTAGAGATCTCATTGGTCCTCACGATTGGGTGACAGGCATTTTACCAACTGAGCCATCTTCTGAGCTCCTGAATCTTTTTAAGTAACAAAAAAACTTCATGAGGAAAAGATTATCTGTGTCTCCTTGATTCACATCATCATATTTTGGTATAAAGGTCTTTAGAGGGTACTAGATGGTCCCCTTCGTCATTGATAACAGAAGTATCCTGTGTCGATGATCACAGCCACATAACTTGGTGAGAGAGCTTGCTGGGTCTTTGTATACTTAATATTCCCTCAAGATGAGTTGGTACTAGGGGAGAAGACATGGCCCTTGCTCTGCAGGAGCTCACAGCCCAAGAAGCTTTTCTTTGGGTGAATTTACAGTCCCCAAGGGAGAGCATACCATTAGGCGCTCCCACCTTCATAAAGGCCTGAAGCCTCTTGGAGAGATCTCAGATCGATTTATGGAAAAGATTCTCAAAGACCAACTTCTCACTTTGACTGTCTTTCAGTAGTGCTTATTGACCATCGCAGTGACGACCAGACCACAGGTAAAGGCAGAGGAGAAGAGACCATAATCTAACTGTAAAGAGCAAAGCTAAAGAAACAAATAGGTTTCCTCCAAGAGTGACTGAAAGAGGACGGACATGCATTTCTGATGGATATTAAGATAGACAGCATGCGGTAAGACAATATAGTCAAGCAATACAAATGTATTTCCTTGCCACCCTCCAGTCAAAATTCTCTTACCTAGGTCTTGAGCTCCCGCAAAATAGATTTTGTGTACTTAGAATGGTCCTGACTTCTGGGAACCTTGGGCCACCTATCCACCAGAAGCCTGGCCTAAGGATAAGTCTCAAGAGTGAATAATAGAGACTCGGTCAGGTCTAACGGTTCCAAGCCTGATGCTGAAGGACATAGGCCAAACACTGAGAGGAGTGTGAGGGACACAGTCAAGCCTCCCACGCTTGTCGATTGTCTTATAGCTTTGGTTGTACCCTTCTTTTACGTAAGTATATAAGTAAGGAACACCGTGAGGCATTCTAGAATATTCTCTAGAATGTTCTCACGTGTTCCCAAGGCAGCCTAACCCAACTGCTATTTAGATCTTCCTTGCAGAGATGCTGCAGCAGGTGCCGCCGGTGGGATTCGGGGTAATGCCTGATGGAGATGAGAAAGGTTTTAAACGTTTGCCTTCCTAAAAAACATCCTCACTGCATCTCTGAGAAGTACCCAGCTGGTGTTTATCCTCCACAGTAGCAAATCAGGTTATTTATCGTCCTATTTCGTGATGTATTTTATAAAGTAATGAATGGTTCATTAAACTAAGTTTGGGCATCTGTCTCCCAACAGCCTCCTACTCAGCTGTACCCTTAGCGGGTCCTGGAACCCATTGGCGTGGGCTCCAGCCTCCCAGTCTCTTTCCTGTCCCCCACCATCCCCAAGCCGCTTCCCCTCCTGTCCTCAGTCCTCCTCATCCCTCCCCTTGGTTATTTAGGAGATTAGAGTTCATTAATTAAATCCTGTGCTTAGATCGAACTGTAACACTATTCCAATCACATTTATCTTTCAGGCGGCAGTGGAGATGGCAACCTCGCTGGAAACGCGCGGGGGAGCCTGAGCCGGCAGCCGGAGACGCACTGCTCCGTGTGCTCCATCGCCAGCCACGCCGCCGCGCTGACCCTCCATCTTCCTGTTCAGCTCCGGGCCAGGCTTGACCCTGCCCCGGGGTGGGGTAGGGGGCAGGCTCCTGCTTCTCCCGGGGCTCCAGATCGTTCTCCACCCCCGGGCCCTCTGCGACTCAATTGCCTGGGTCCCCCCTCCCCCGCCACACACACACTCACACGCGCCCGCGAGCACACACGCACGCACACAACACACTCACACGCCAGCAGGCTGCTGGCCGCTCAATGGACCGATTTCCCCGGTTTCCCTGAACCCAGCCTAGCCCGGGATGAGAAATTGCAAAATGGCCCGAGTCGCCAGGGTGCTAGGGCTGGTCATGCTCAGCGTGGCCCTGCTGATTTTATCGCTTATCAGCTACGTGTCTCTGAAAAAGGAGAACATCTTCACCACTCCCAAGTACGCCAGCCCGGGGGCGCCCCGAATGTACATGTTCCACGCGGGATTCCGGTGAGTATGGGCCTCTGTTGGAGCGCCCTCGGGTATCTCGGGTCGATGGTGTGTTGGGGGACCGTCAGAGAAGAGTGTTTGGGCTTCTCGGTAACTGCTTGGTCCTTTCATTCCTTTTTTTTCTGTTTCTGCACTTTATTTTTTTATCCCAAAGCCCCTAAGAGCCTTTGTCCTAATCGATGTGATTGAATTTCTCCTATTCTTCCTCTGCGTCCCTCCCCCATTTCAAAACTGGGGTGTTGGCGGTAGAGCGAGAGGCGGTGTTTGGACAGCAAGGCTGGGGGGTGGAGGGGGGGTAAACCCAGAGCTGGGCAAGGCTTGAGGTGAACGACCTGGCCGAGCACTAGCAACGGACTCCGCAGGCCTGGCTGGGGCGATCTAATGGCGCAGGCGCCGACTGCTCTCGCACCCCTTCCCTCCTCCCCTTTCTCATCTAATGATGCGCAGGTTTATTCTCTTGAAGCCCCTAGGGGGTTCTTCCTCGACCCTTCCCCCGCTGCCACCCGCCCCCTCCTTTCCTGGATTTCTGCAATTCCTTAGCCCCTGCGGGAAGCTAGCCTTCTGCTGAGGGCCGCCCACCCTCGCTGGGTCGAAGTCACTGCGGGGCGCAGCTCCGCACATCTGGAGCCCCACCCCTACCTGTGCCCGTAAGGAGCTCTCCCCGCACCGCTTCTGATGGGCGAGTGGCAATCACAAGCTGCACCCTGGGGGCCAAGCTGGGCCAGGGATGTGCAACCTGAAGAAGCTAGGCCTGGACAGAAGAGCCCCTCTGGGAGTCTCCAGCTAAAGGCTGAGGATAAAATCAGACTTGGGCGTGGGAAGGAAAAGGTTAAGGCTGGAGCCCTCAACCCCCACCCCTTTCGCCTGAGTCTCGAATTTCCTCTGCTCTTTCACAAAAAAAAAAAAAAAAAAAAAAAAAAAAAAATCAATTCTGGGGCCGAGGGGTGGCAGGGTCGGGCCGGCGGCCGCTGTCCGCGGTGCTGACTGACTCGTAGTCCCGCTGAGCCACGGCCTGCAGCCCTGGGCTGGGCTCCGACCCTTGCTGTCTGCGTGACCGCCATCTTTCTTATGGTCTCCCCTGCACCCGGAGGACTAGACAATGGGGAAGAGTCTCCCCTTTTCTTCCTTTCTTCCGGGCTTGTGTAGGAGCAGAGAATGTGCCAAAAGAGAGGGGCTGTGGGGTGGGCTTGCTCTTGTGTCAGCTGCCCCTTCCGATTGTTGCTGGAGCTGTCACTGTCTGGGTTCCCCTCCCTGAGGCCAGCACCTATCTGAACTAATGCTCCTCCTCAGGTCACAGTTTGCGCTGAAGTTTCTAGACCCGTCATTTGTGCCCATTACGAATTCTCTCACCCATGAACTACAAGAGAAACCTTCTAAATGGACATTTAATCGGACAGCGTTTTTACATCAAAGGTAGGATAGGAAGAGAGGTTTTGGTGGTGGTGGTTGTTTTTAATTTTGAAACTCAATAAAACAAACAGCACAAAAACAAATCCAAAGCCAGTACCACACACACAAATCGCCAACTCATCTTGCCCCACCTGCAAGTGTAGGGGCTTTGTCTCCCCCAAGCTTAAATGTAAGAGGAGGTGATTCGTAGTCATCCCTCTTAAACATTTGTAGTATCCTTAAACAGGAGCAATCAGGTTGGCCAATACCTTCGTAACTTGGCCTTGACTGAACACCACGATGTCTGGTGGCACCAAAGTTGTCTATTTAAAAATAAAATAAAAAGGTTTCATTACAAACAGATGATCTCCTTTATAATTATACAATCTCACTTATAATCAACACAACCTTACCACATCACTCACTAGCGGAGATGTCGGTCTAAATGTATATGTATGTAGACATGATTTTGTTTCGATTTTGCCTGTTTGTTTTTTATGAAGCTTTTGCAGCTTTTATTATAAAACTAACTTCATTCTTATTCATTGCGGTGGCCTGTTTTTATACATAAAGAAGGCTTTTCTTTATTGTTTCATTTTGTTTTAGGTGAAGGGAAAAGGAAGAAATTAATTCTCAGTGATTTTTGGTCTCAGAACCATAGACAACCCCCCCCCACCCAGTGGGATTGTTATGTCATTAAATGCAATGTGAGCCATCTAGTGTATTTATTAGGGCTGTGAATACTTATTTTTCAAGCCAGGAAGGGATATGTGGTTTTTGCCCTGGCATTTATTGTTACTGTACTTTAAATATATATATATTCTACTGGAAAAATGAAAAAGAAACTCATGGTGTCAGAAAAAAATGTGTGGGTTTCTTTAAATTGGTATAATCATAGGATTATGGTACAGTTTTAAAAGTATTTATGCTTAAATATAAACTAGTACTAAACCCCCAAACACACCAAATACATCTCTAACTTGATTACAGTATTTTTCTACACTGGGCCAAGTATCCCTAGCAATCAATCAAAAGAATACTTCCTTCTCAAAACGTCCTGCCTTTCAATCCATTTATTAGAAAAACCTTTAATTTTAATAGTATTGTTTTAAGTTGCTTTTTAACAACTCCAAGAATTATGCTGCTACCTAAAAGCTGAGGTGACTGTCACAGTCTACGTTGTCCTAGATTTGATAATTGCTCTTTCCACCCCACTGTTGTTTAAACAGAAGGCCTGGGAGTTTCAATTTACCTTCTTGTCACTGGGGAACCTGCTGCAAAGTTGCAGGTTACCAGTCTTTTAAACTATTTTTAAGTACCTCAGACTTTAAGAAAAGATAATTTCATGGAAAGCTCAGTATGAAATCAAGCTGAAGTCAATTCTAAGTATCACTTTTCTCTTATTACCCTTTTTTTCAGAACGTGATGTCCTTTTTTTTTTCTGAAGGCTTACCTATATCCTGTTAAATTGTGATTTCATATACTCAAACAGGAAAAAAAAATTCCTGCTTCATGATTCAGCAGGCCTCAATGAGATAGATTATCATTTCATTTCTATTAAGCATTTAGTCATACCCATTACTCTTCCCATTTTCATATTTTAATAATAGTGCTGTACTATGTGCTGTTCCATATCTGTTTAGCTTTTATTTAGACACCTGTAGTATTTGCTATTCGTCAAGCACTGCAGTCCAACAGCAAGCAAGCAGCCCCTAGTTACAAACTCTAAGTCACCAATGTTTATACATAAATGTGAGTTCTTTGAAGCCTGTGTAAATTGTCTCCCTGTGTTTCCTAACACAGTTTGGCATCTGCCTCCTCCTTAATCAAATACACTCTTTGAGTAGACCAGAATACCAAGAAATAGTAGGTCAAACTGTACACTGAATTTACTAGCATCCAAAGGTTACAATCAGAACTTGACTGAGATATATTGCTATGCCTGTACATTATAAAACAGGCTTCCCTTTGGAGCCAGCAACTATAAATGTATACTCTTACTTGAATTGAGTGTGCTTAATATTCTTGTGTGAGTTAAATGGAAGCATAAGATGGAAACTTGGGTCTTTGGGATAGAATGTATTTAATAAATCTTTTTTTATTTTAGGCAAGAAATTCTTCAGCATGTCGATGTAATAACAAATTTTTCTTTGACCAAGAGTAGTGTTCGGATTGGACAACTGATGCATTACGATTACTCCAGCCATAAATATGTCTTCTCTATTAGCAATAACTTCCGGTCCCTGCTCCCAGATGTGTCACCCATTATGAATAAGCGTTATAATATTTGTGCTGTGGTTGGAAACAGTGGAATCTTGACAGGGAGTCAGTGTGGACAAGAAATAGATAAATCAGATTTTGTTTTTCGATGCAATTTTGCCCCGACAGAGGCTTTCCACAAAGATGTTGGAAGGAAAACCAACCTCACAACCTTCAATCCAAGCATCTTGGAAAAATATTACAACAATCTTTTAACCATTCAGGACCGTAACAACTTCTTCCTCAGTTTAAAAAAGCTTGACGGGGCCATCCTTTGGATCCCTGCATTTTTCTTCCACACTTCCGCAACCGTAACAAGAACGTTAGTGGATTTTTTTGTTGAGCACAGAGGTCAGCTAAAGGTCCAGTTGGCTTGGCCTGGAAATATCATGCAACATGTCAACAGGTGTGTATGTTTTTATTACATTTAACTCATACCCTCACCAGATGGCAAGTCAATATTGTAATCTCTTGGACATGGGAGCCATCCAACTCACTAGTTGTTGTGGTTGGTTTAGTTCTGGAGGACAAACTCTTATCTTCTTAATGAATGAATCACGCTAGTTAAAAAGTTCAGTTTACCCCTAGCTGGTAACCAAGTGCGAAATGAAAAGATCATTCATCACCCTTCCTTTTATTTCCTGCTCCTTCTTAGTGTGCAACCATGGAAATCACCACCAACCAAGAATTTCCCTTGTACCAATAGGTATATCCCAGTAACACCGGTGACTAAATCATGCAAAGCCTAATTTTAAAAATTGTAATTTAAAGAAGAAAAAATTACCATTGACTTTAAAATATCCTTTTTGTCTGATGCTCAGGTGTTTGTAGAGTTTCAGGATTAGGAACCCACCTGGGAAAACCCTAAATGGCATAATCTGCTTTGATAATTAAATGTTTGAGTACTTGAGGACCTCATTGCTGTTCCTTATGGTGTGATAAGGAGACTGACTGGAGAAGGAACATTTTCACCTAGTCCAGTAACTTTCAGTTTGGGTTTAAACAGCCCAAAGAATCAGAGATTTGAAGTAAAATACTACTACCTGGGCTGGCCTTGAGTCTGACTCGGTGAGGGAGGCAAGGATCATGCACTTGGTGTTTTTAATAACCCCTTAGATGGTTTAAGTATGCAGCTGTAAGTGAGACTATCATCCAGGGCATTTTTAAAGGCAAGATTAATTGCACGACTTGTTTTTTTCTTTAACTCCTCGGAGCATTGCCTCAACTCCCATGCCCTCCTGTGCAAGGAATTCAGGCATCACAGCAGAGCACAGATCTTATTATAAGCTCAGGTGGGTTCTGGAAGGCTTGGTGACCAGGAGTGCATGCTGTAATAGATATTCCCTTTCTCTTATTTCCTAAGATCATTTCAAATCTGATATCTATTTTGCTAAGCTTCCATTGAAAGAGAGCTCATAATCTAGTAAAATGGTGTGTCTCCAAAAGGAAGGGCAATTGTATTATTTATAGTCCAAACTGAGACCTTTACTTTGAGAAAATGGGTGTGATGAGTAATTGCCAAGGGGTAACATACACAAACTGGTACCACTCCCAAGAACGTAAGATACAGTAGAACTAAACCCCAAAGTCTGAGAACTGAATACAAAGAGTGGGTTGCGTTTGTCCAAAGTCACTATTCAACATGGGAGAAGCCAAAGTTCAAACCCAGGTTGTTTATCAACCCATCCCAAATCTTTGACTTCATCGTTTTTACTCCATTCTGCTCCATCTTTATTCATTTTTATGACATTTTAAATCTCATGCAGAAGGGAACAGACCCATGTACTGGGGCTGGGAAATGTATCTACCCGTGAAACCCAAACAGTCTAGAAAAATCTAACTCCCAGCCCTGCTTATTGACGTATCTGACTGAAACCTTCAGTACCAGCCGCTGAATCTGCATGTACTTGTTGTTCTGCAGGTACTGGAAAAACAAACACTTGTCACCCAAACGACTGAGCACAGGTATCCTTATGTACACCCTCGCATCTGCAATATGCGAAGAGATCCACTTGTACGGTTTCTGGCCTTTTGGATTTGACCCCAACACCAGGGAGGATCTGCCCTACCACTACTATGACAAAAAAGGAACCAAATTTACCACCAAGTGGCAGGAGTCTCACCAGCTGCCTGCTGAGTTTCAGCTGCTCTATCGAATGCATGGGGACGGGCTCACGAAGCTCACTCTGTCACACTGTGCCTAAGAACTCCACATGGAAAGTGCCAAAAGGCTGTTTAAAAAGTGCCCCCAAACCAAATTGAATAGTCTCCAGAACAGAACCCATAGACAATCTGGCTAAGCCTGTCTGCCACTTACAAGGAAAGACGTCTTCTCTTCCTCTTTTGCACTGCTCTTTGAATGATCTTAACAGACTTAAGACAGGTGCATTTAAGCTGTGTGATTTAGACTTGATCGGGAAAGGTTATATTGCATTTGAAAGTATGCTGCACAGAGAATAGCTTGAACTAGTTCTAAGTTTGTATTTTAATAATAAACTGAATCCCGTGTGAATGAGGAATGTGACTGTCATCTCCTCAGCCCTACTTTGATATAGTCCCCATAACCAGAGAGCACTGGCCAGCTCCAGCAGGGTCTCTTTTGCTAGGGGGATCAGAATCTTCAAAAACAAAAAACTGCTTTACAGGTTGCATATTCTCTCTCTCTCTCTCTCTCTCTCTCTCTCTCTCTCTCTCTCTCTCTCAACACACACACACCACACACACTTCCTGTTGTCCTACTACCAAAAGAATTTAATAATTTGTTAGGAATACTTCTGGATTAGCTTCGCTTGTATGTGTTTGCATCTGTACCTGATGTGTTCTAGGCTCTGGATAACTTGGATGTTTCATGACAAACTGAGCAGATCTTAATGACTTCCCCCATGAAGAATTTTATAGGAAATGCCTCTTATCAAGTCCTTACTTGTCCATACTGTTATTCTACAGCATGGTGGTCTATTTGAGTAGAGTGGCATGTGCTACAGTGTCTCTTTTTCTGTCACAAAGAAAGCTCATAGTGTGGGTGGCATTGCATCTGTTGGCACGAGTGTAGTTGTGGCAGCTCCTACAAGGGTTTTCTAGCTTATGTCTTCAACAATTCCAGTTCAAGCACTAGGCTGGGCACTCTCTCAGAACAAAGAGGCATTGGGTTAATTTAAAAACCTGGAGAAAAAATTAAATAGGGGAAGAGGAATGTTTGCAAGTCATATAGTCTGTAAAGAGTTGTGACCAACGGAGAAGCACAAGAGGTGGTGTGGAAGATAAACTAGAGCTTTGGCCAGACTGGCCTCTGTGTGACACATGTTAGCATTAATCATGTCAGCTCCTTTCTGTGACATCCCCACCAACAAACATCTCCACACGATTGCTTTCTTTGAGACAGTTGAAGAGACTATTCTCTGTTTCCAAGTCTGTGCGTCTATACATTGAGCATTTCAAAAAGAAAAGCCATTATGCAGTGGCAAGACTTGGTCCTAAATAACCTTTGGAATTTGAGATCAGCTGGCCATTGTTCTCATTGTTTCAGCTGTATCAGTAGAAATCGCATCACTCCCATCCCAGGCTTTACACTGAGCAGCACTTTGTTCTTCCAATCCAACCCAAAGGCTGGCCAAGTTGATGTTAAATTTTAATAAGACTTTCTTTCCTCTTTACGAGTGCCCGTGGAGCACATTTGTTATACATTCCAATAGGGTAGCTTGTTCTTTTCCAGAAATCTCATCTAGACTGCTTACAGTGTTGTAAATATTTTTAAAAACCCTTGCTATATAGTTCAGTCATCAGTGTACTGCCCCTCTTGGGGAAAAAAAAAACAAAAACCAATCATTCCTTTAAAAAAAAAAAAAAAAACGTGGAGTAAGAAGACACACTGTTCTTGTATACCACCTGGTCCTGGAGCTGCACTGTTCATTTCGAGGAGCTAAATCAGCCCCAGATACAATCTAGTGAAAGAAAACCGTTCAGATCCAAACACAATACCAACTGTGGCACATGTTACCCACTTGTGAACGCCAGTCATTCAGATAGAGTAGAGGAAATAGGGGTAAATATTTCAAAATAAGAAGCATTAACTATGCACAGAATAGTAAGAAAATTAAAATTATAAGGTATTTTTAAAACGCTTTAGAATTCAAGGACAATTCCATGGGCATGAAAAGGATACCTTGGCTATGCCCTGTCACGTTAAACCACACCATGGCTGTGCCCTGTCACTTTAAACCACATCATGGCTGTGCCCTGTCACGTTAAAGAGCACAGGACACCATGCTGCTACTCTCTGGATGGGTATAGGTCATGGAGACTGACAGAATTGCAGCAGTTATTATCAGGATTAAAAGGCCTGGCTATTCCTAAGCCCTTCGTTCATTTGGTTGCAGCCAAGGGATATTAACACTAAGACTACAGCCCAGGTTCTGACTCCAGGGCTTTAATTTCAGTGTGCCCATCAGGTCTTACTACATATCAACTTGGACTCTTTGCACTAAGCAAGATAAAATACTCAAAGACTATAAGATCCCCAAAGCTAGTTAATTAATCCAAGATAATCTATTTAAATTTGATCTTATCCAGAATGTTGTGGTGGTTTTTGTTTTTTTAATGGATATTTTTACCTCAGTTGTATCCTGAACCTGCTGCTCTGATGGTTTGGAAATGCAGCCACCAACTGATGCTACATCTTTTTTTTTCTGTTTCCCAGGACTATTTCGATGTGTAAACCAACGTAACTGCTTTCATGATAGAAAGGTTTTCTTATTAGAAAGGCAGCCAGAGCTTGTTGGCTCTCCCTCAGTCCCTAGGCTTGTAGCCTCAAGGGCAGTGAACAGAGCAGAGGGACCATTGAGCTCCAAGTTGACTCCACTTGGTTAGATCTGCTTAGTGCATTCTTTTGTGAGAAACACACTCATCTTTTGGCTACCTACAACAGAGTACACCATCAGCTATGTGAATAAACTTCACCATAATGCTCCCAAGGATGTCTGAAAATAACTAATTACTGAGCAGAGAAGACAGGGAAATTTACAAACTCCCGGCAGCATGAGTCAAAAGGTGGTTGTCACGACTTCCTACCACACCCGGAAATTTGGGGTCCTCATGTGAATCTATGGACCTGGGGATCCAACCCAGGACCTTGATCCTGGTAGACAAATATTCTACCATTGATCTCCATTCCCTGGCTTTGTTCTTGTGCTAAGTAACTTTAACCATTATAAAAATGCAGCCTATTTAGTAGTACTGTATGTCTACCAGTGCTGAATATGACCACTGTACCATCTGTCTCTGACCTGAATATCAGACATGGGGTATAGCAAGGATGTACAAAGGGAGACCCTATTCACTCACCTACCCTCCTGGTACCAAGGCTGTCGGTGCTGATGAATGTGAGTGCCCAGACAAAACTGATGTTGCAGGGAATTCAGTGGATATGAATCCAGGGAATTCAGTGGATATGAATCCATGCTTTCTAACTTCAGGCAAGGCCCCAAACACTCAGACAATAACTCGTGGGCCCCAGAGAAACAGGAACAATGGAAGGGGAGGAGTCATTGAGTTTTCTAACCCATCTTTACTTTACAAATATTAAAATTGAGATACAGAGAGACTAAGTGATTTTTCTCAAATTTTACATAGATAATTATTGAAGTTAAATTAGAGTATCAAAGATAAGGCCAAAGGAAAACAACTTAAATCTGGAATATTTGCAGTGCAAACATAATGGCAAGGGGCCGTGAAGGAAGAAGGAAAAAGATGACTAAGTGCACTTGCTGGGGTACACAGCAGTAGAGGAGACACTTGTCCTATACACAGCAGCCTGCTAAAAGCCACCCAGTCTCCCCTAAAATGAGAGAGAAACCTCCTGTTAAATCACTGACTGATAAATCCCAGTTCAGTTACTGATGGTACATAACTGACAGATGAAATTGTACCTGACAATATATCATCTTAATAAAATCATGTGTGAATGGTTTAGAAGTTGAAGGCTAAAAGTGGCTGTATTCTTTTTGTATATAAAACTTTCAGCAGGGGCCCCTTGAGTTAAAAAAAAAACTGTTTTCCATTTTGTAAGTAATTTCAACAGCCGGCTTTGAATTATTGTATTAGTTTGTTTTGCTAAGAAGTAGTAGAAAACTTTGGTGGCTCTTCCATTCAAATGATGTTCTGAGATCTTTTCTGTGTAGTTCTGGGCCCTTAAGCCTCTCTTCTCATAACTGTGTGAACATATCAGACAAACATTTGCTTGGCTTCTACTACTTCCCACCTGTGTATAACTGACCTTGTGACCAAAGTTGGGACTGTGTACATGTGACCGAAGAGCTCTAACGGAACACCATGGGTGCTGGGAATTGAGGGCATCTCGCCAGTCTGTCTAAGCCGCTTAATCCGTGGACCATTTAACCAAGGAATTGATACCAAGGACCAAAATGGCTAACCCTGCCTCTCTCACACTCTGCCTGCTTTGCCATATAAATATAACATTTCAAGTGGGAAATGTTTTCGAATGTTATGATTTGTTATGTAATATTGCTGAGCATTTATTTTTATTGTAATGATTTGTTAAAGATGCGTGTGGTTGAATAGATGTTTCAATCCTCGGTGGAGTTCATTCTCTTATTGTTAGAATCAGTGAGGCGCCTGATGCTGATGCTGGTTTCAGTGGTATTAGGATCTGGTGGGTGCCAAGGATGTATGAGCAACAATGTACATGATGAGGAACACCTTGAGATAGAATTCTTGCTCCTCGATCCACGTCTTTGAATCATATCCTGAGATAAGTCCAACCTAAATGGACCCTGATTGGTTCTGATGTGGCATATGGAAACTAACGGCATATTTTACAGCCAATTATATCTAGATGGCTTTGACCAGAGCATTTCTCACATACTTTGTATCAAATATTCCTTAAAGTTATCACAGCACATGGCAATATATACACAGCCTGAGTGACTCACCCTGCCAACTTCTAACCAAACTGACCATATGCTATGTTTTAAGCACATAGTAGTAATTTGTCAGTGTAGTCAGAACAGACATGAGCCGGCAGACAATGTGAAGAGCATAGCTTTGTGCACTTTACTCCAAGCCTAGTTCTTTATATATCATGGTCTGTGTTTCAAACAAAGAGGCAAAGCTCAGGCCATTCATCTTTATATAAATGGATAAACCAAGAAGCAGAGAAGCTAAATGATTCATTCAGATTCAATTTGGGATTCATTCCCAGCGGCTAAAATATTCCTCAGGTGGTCTGACTTTCAGTCTCCGAACAATGCCTCAAATGAGGGAATGCTCTAATGCTGTCATATTTGAGCTAAAATGAAACCAGCCCCTCCCCCAAAAAAGAAATTCACAGAGCTAAAATTCTAAGACCAACGTACGTAAGCAGGTGGTCAGTTATTACTCGCTGTCTTGTTCCTGCCCACGCTGGATAAGGTGCCACTG